ACCTCTACGTCTTGCGCCTCTACGTCTTGCGCCTCTACGTCTTGCGCCTCTGCGTCTTGCGCCTCTACGTCGTTCGGCCGAGACTCCAACTGCTTCTGAGCGTCTCCGACCGATGTCGCCATGCACTGCACCGACGCAGTGGGCCTTGGATCTGATAATCCACTGGCTTCGAATACTCCTCTGACCGCTGCTTGTCTGTAAGCAAAGTCTTCCACGCCTTGTCCGGCGTCCTTTCGCGTGAGGCAAGCAAATCTCGCTTTGCTCCCTCATATTTACTGCTGGCGATGCGCTCGTTCATCTTCTTCAAGTTCTTGAGCTTTTCGTCAAACTCTGGGCGGAGCGCACCCTCTTGCCGTCTAGCACTGCGCTCTTCAAACTCCTCGCTCTGTCGGAGCCTCTTCTCCATGTATTCTCTCCACCTATCGCCTTCAAATCCATACCGAATTCCGAACTGGCTTCAACGATCCATAGTTCCTGTGCCATGCTCGCTTCGTATCCTGGCGTGGTCGCCAAATGTTGTGAACCCTCTGGTTCTCTAAAGTGCCAGGAACGAACGACCACACGGCATGAGGACAACTATTTATTCTCAACAGTATATTTCACTTCCATCGACTAATAATAATGAACAATGAATGAATGAGATAAATTGTGCACTCATAACAACAGCAAAAATGAAGAAAGTCAAGTTCCATAACGTTTTCTTGTGACTGTCATCAGTGGAACGCCGTCACATAAAAATGTAATAACTAAAACACACACTTATATACATGTAGCTAATATGGTTTCAGGTAGAAATACAGCAGCTAACAGGTACAAAAAGCGAAGTTTGCACCTTTGCAATGTGTGAATATAGTGTATGTGAGAAAGGTAGTGGCAGATGAATGTGATACTGTGTGAATGAATGTAATGGTGCGTGTGTATTACTTGAAGAGTGTGAGTGATACAACGTTTTCTTTCTGTTTACATAGCACAGGGTCACGAGTACGAATATACACAGCTTCCAACACCTGCAATTGCTTGAAGAAACGTGCGCAACGAATAACACTAAACCAGGAATCGTCAAACTGGTGTCCAGTCCAGAATGTCGTAAGGTGTTTGACGATTCCTGGTTTAGTGTTATTCGTTGCGCACGTTTCTTCAAGCAATTGCAGGTGTTGGAAGCTGTGTATATTCGTACTCGTGACCCTGTGCTATGTAAACAGAAAGAAAACGTTGTATCACTCACACTCTTCAAGTAATACACACGCACCATTACATTCATTCACACAGTATCACATTCATCTGCCACTACCTTTCTCACATACACTATATTCACACATTGCAAAGGTGCAAACTTCGCTTTTTGTACCTGTTAGCTGCTGTATTTCTACCTGAAACCATATTAGCTACATGTATATAAGTGTGTGTTTTTAGTTATTACATTTTTATGTGACGGCGTTCCACTGATGACAGTCACAAGAAAACGTTATGGAACTTGACTTTCTTCATTTTTGCTGTTGTAATGAATGAATGAATAACACTAAAACCACCAGGTAGTTATAGCGGGAAAATGACAGCGTATATGAGAAAAGCATACACATACAACATACAACAACAGCGCACACAGCAAAACCGCACATAGCGCATGTAGCGTATACTACGATAATAATAATACAGCATGCATATAGCTCATATGAAAAATCAAATGAGGGTCATGCATCTGTCGACAACGTCGAGCCAGTGCGTTCTGTCTGAGGCAAGTTGCTCCGCTTCCAAAAGAGACATATTGAGAAGTAAAAGGTCATTCCTAATGTTGTCTGCCCATCTGGTCACTGGGCGACCTGTGGGATTCTTTATTTCTGCTATATTTATTGCCATGTGAAGGGCTTTGTAGGACACAGCGTCCTTCCCTTCAGGAATGACATGTCCAAACCATAATAAGCGCCGGCGTCTACCGACTGCACTTATTGGGCATTGAGCAGTTTTAGCATAAAGAGCATTATTCGAAATTTTATTGGGAAAGATGATTCCAAGTATGTATCTGAGTTTACGGCGGTGCCATACATCAATTTTGCTTTCTAAGGCTTTTGTTAGAGTCCATTTGCGCGCAGTTATATAGGAGAACTGGCAGAATGAGACAGTTGAACATGTTTAAGCGGGACTGCTGGGTATGGCGTTTCCATGATACACTGGAAAATGCCCGGTTCGCTGCTATGATACGTGCATCAATGTCCTCCGCTGACCCCAGACGAGAACCCAACAGTTTGACCGACCTCCAGGAGGCATCTGACTTTGTAGCTGTTACAAATTGTGTTTTGCTGATGTTTAGTTTTAAGTTATCCTCTGCGAAGATGGGTTCGCATTTCTCTACGGTTGCTTCAACTGCTGTCCGGTTGTGGTCATGCACTGTTGTATCATCTGCATACAGGGTGAACTTAGTAGGTAGATTGACTTGTTCTGGGCAGGCTTCTCTGATCCTCTGCATTGCACCTTCTGCGTAGACAATATACATAAGGGGTGACAGGGGTCCCCTGCACCACTCCAACATTAGTTGGAAATGACTGACTGAGCTGCTTTCCGAGCTTCACGCGAGCATAGGTTTCGGAGACTAGTTGCTGAATAGTGCTAACATGTGCACCTGCCGAAGCCAGACGGTCAACAGCAGTCTGCCTGATTATTGTATCAAATGCGCCACTGAAATCTAAAAGCGCCGCTGAGTGACTCCAGTCTCCTAGCAAGGCCCTCTCGCACATCATTCTTGTGAATAATACTCCGTCCGTAGTCCACCGCCCAGGGCGGAAGCCAGCCTGGCTTTCAGGCACAAAGGAGTCCACGAATGTAGTGCAGCGCTGTGTGAGAATACGGGTCAGGACCTTTCTGACCACCGACAGAAGCATAACTGGTCGGTAACTTTCGGGGAAGCCGGCTGGCTTATTTGGCTTATATATGGGCACGATCAAACCGCGTCTGAGGTCTTCTGGACAATACTTTGCCAGTTGAACAGCTTTGAAGAATGTTGTTAACCAAGTGGTGATTGCATCTTTACCGGCCTGCAGCAAAACTGCGGAAACTCCATCCTGTCCAACAGCATCACCCGGTTTTTGACGTGAGATTGCTGCTCGAACTTCTTCCTGAGTAAATGGCTCCTCATCAGGTGTTACCTCTCCATCTGCTGGGTGGTCGACTGCAGCAGGGACGTCATCGCGATGGAATACGGCCAAGTAATACTTGCGGAATTCATCGAGATTCCACTGGACGTCCGCCATGATTTCACCATCTTTGTTTGCAAGTCTGATTGGTGGCTGGCTGACTGAGGAACGAAGTTGGCGGATGTTACGAATTGCATTGTAGTATGACCGTGCGTCGTGCCGTAATGCATCTGCTTCTGTTGCTTTCTCCTGCCAAAATTGGTCACCCTCCTTTCGTAATATTGATCGTATTTTATGCAGTATTTGATTGCGTTCTCTTGCTAGCTGTTGCCGTCTTTCAGGATCACGTTCCGCATGCTTCTGGATGTGAAGTTCTTTCTGCCGTTGCGACAGCATAGACACTTCAGTACTCATGCTGCGGACCGACTTGTGTCCAACCTTTGCCCTCTCACATGCAGCTAGAGCTGCACCATGTACAACCGTCACAAAGCCATCCCACAGGTTATCAATAACTTGAGGCGATACTTGGGAGAGCTGGATCTCCGGAAGATTTTCAAGTAGTGCTGACTGATAGAGTTTCCTGGTTATCTCTGTAGGTTGGTTGTATTTGGAGAAGCATCGCTCCTTAGACTTTGGAGCAGGCTTCGCTGGTCCAAATGAGAGACGAAAGTCGGCAATTACCGGATGATGATCCGATCTGGTGCGGAATCCTCCATATGATCTTGCATTGGTGACTGATGTTAGTCCACCAGTCTTCACTGCGATGAAATCAATCATATTCCGCACCGCACGGCCGTCAGAGTATGTCAATAGGTCTTTTGCCCAATAAGACACGCAGTGACTTGGCGGGGCATGGCATGCGTACTGAATGCGTGACACAGGCACGGGGTACATGCAGTGCATTCCTCCCAGCGCGAGCTCTTGTTTTGGAACCGCAACGATCAATCACAGTGTTTGGCGTGTACTTGCCCACGTGTAAATGTGACTTTTCCTTCTATTTTTGTTTGTGCCTTTACTTTCAGAAACTAACTTCTTCAAGCGATTGCGCTCGACATTTTAGAAGATAAAAGAACAGCCGCTGGAGATTCTCCGCCTGGTTCTTGTAAAGTGTTCAGTTTTGTTATGTAGGACATCTTCCCAGCTTCTCTAGTCATGGGGAAAGACGATCACTGCTGCGTTCCGCAGTGCAACAGCGACCGACGTTCGGACAAAAATACTTTGTTCCACGTCTTCCCTGGTAGCAAAGAAACAGAAACTGGAGAAGCTAGAAGCGTGAGCAGGGACGAGTTGGACACAAGGAAGTCTTGGATTGCGGCCATCCGTCGAGATGAGAGGCACGGTGTGTTTACCATCATGTCGTACAGTACAGTGGTGTGTTCTAACCACTTCACGGACGAAGACTATGTCCAAGGGACAGAGAAGGGCGCAAGGCTGAAATCTACTGCTGTTCCAAGCGTATTTGCATGGAAGAAGCCCACGACGAGAAAGTCTCGCGAGCGTGGTGCTTCTCCTCCTCCTAAAGTAGCAAAGGAGCCCAAGTCAGACGCTGCAAAGCTTAAAGCCACGACGAAGGAAAATGCCAAGCAAAAAGACGGACTTGAAGAAGCACTGGCTGCTATCGACGATATCCAAGTCGACTTCAGCCTGAAGCTATTTTCTCTAGCTCGGTTTGAAGACTCTGACTCCGATATGCAGTACTACACTGGGTTTCCTTCACTTGCTGCATTTGATGCATGTGAACAATTTCTTCACCCGGATGATAAGAGCGTCATTTCCTTTCGCAGCAAACCCTTGGATGCCGACTAACGGAAAAGGAAACCCGGTGCTGGACGGAAGAGCAAGTTGGCTTGGAGAGAGAAGTTTTTCCTTACCATGGTTCGTCTTCGCCGGGGCACAGACATCCGAATGCTGGCTGATCTGTACTTGATAGATACTGGGACTGTGAGTCGTATCATCACAACAATGGTCAACTACATGCACCTGCGACTGGGAATGATTCCAATCTGGCCGCGTCCTTCCCAAGTGTCAGAACGATTGCCCGATGTGTTCAAGGACCTGTATCCCACAACATTCTTGATCATTGATGCCACAGAGCTAAAATGCGAAGTTGCGTCCAGTCTGCCTGCACAGTCCCAACTGTACAGCTCGTACAAGACACATACCACCTTGAAGGGCCTCATCGGTATGACCCCAGATGGTGCTGTGGCGTTCATCTCCGAGTTGTTCACTGGATCTATCAGTGACCGCGAGCTAACGATCAGAAGCCACTTCCTAGATCTTCTCCCAGCAGCCGGGTATGGGACATCGATTATGGCAGATAAAGGATTCGACATCCAGGATCTTTTAGTGCCGTATGGCGTCAAGTTGAACATTCCCCCGTTCAAGCGATCAGGACACCAGATGGCCCTAGAAGACGTTCAGAAAACGCAACAAATCGCCAAGTTACGAATTCATGTTGAGCGTCTGATGGAGCGGATCAAGGAGTTCAACATCTTTTCCAAGATTGTTCCAACAACTCTTTTCCCCATCATCAATCAGATATGGACAGCCTGTTGCCTTCTCATATTGTTCCAGGCTCCTTTACTTGCTGATGCAAATTAAGTTATCCATGCCAACTGTTGCTAGCATTGCATGGCGAATTAATCTTCAGCAACACGAATTTCGTCATGCCTGAACAGTCATGCACAATCATATTACTGAGCAGATAATGACTTCCTCTGTACAAAATTTGTAACGATATAATTTTGATTGCAATATTTACATAAGTTCAATGAATAAAGTTAGTCTTGCCGGTATTGTTATTACGGTCACAACGGACCTACAACGGCGAATATATTATACATGTATTGTACAACCATATGCATGAAGTTGAAATGATTCGAATTTTATCTTGCAGGTTCTTTTCAGTTTGAGGCCTAATTACATGCTATTGCATTTGATCTGTATTTTACGATTTCAACCCATTACAAGATAACAATGTATAACTGGGAAGAAAAGAATGAAATGTAATAATAATGATTCAAGTGCACAAACAGCTGCCAGGCAATGTTCTCAATCAGCCTGGAAAACCTGACCGGCAGAGATTTCCGTGGCCTTTTTCAGATGGGATGAGCAGAACTGTAGCAGGCGTGGAAGTAGATCCTTCTTCCAAAATTCATCGTCAAACAAGATGCGTTCCACGGAAAGTCGACGAGGCCCAGTCCAGATGACAAAGTTACACCAAGATAAGCCAGACACACCAAGTTGCCCTTGAACTTGGTAGTAGTACGCGTGACTAGCACTGAGTCGGGGTTGACCATTGACAAGCTCACAGCAGAAGTCTTGCAATGAACAGGCCTCAACAGGGGTTAAGTCATCGCCATAAGCGGTGTGCGGACACTTTATCTCCAGCAAACCATTTGGATCGGCTGGACAGGACCATCATAGACTTGGCCGTCAGGACTAGCGCCAATGTACTGGTAAACAGGGTGGATGACCAGACCACATTGCCGCACCTCATAGTCCGCGTTGCACATTGTTTGCTTGCTTGCCAAATAATCCCTTCTGGCCAAATCCTCACAGGCTCTTCCATGAGAAACCGCTCCAACTCGAGACAAATCCTTGTCCTGAAAGAGGCTCGTCACGAATGCATCTGTCACCTCCTTCCGGTGAGTTACGAGGTGGAAGCGTGAAGAAGTCAGGGTGATTCTCCTCAGTCTTTTCCACAGTTCACTGCTACCCTGACTACGAGTGAGCCGTTCGATGGCTATGGTTTTGGTATGGAGTAGCGGTCGTGCAAACTCATCACCTTCCCTAGCAGACTTCGGCAGTGGTAAATCACAGAAGTGCTGGCTGGTAGAACACTCAGCGCCAGCAGGTTGTTGGCTGGCAGGTGATTCTGAGGTGGCGTTTCGATCATCACTTGCTGTTTGCGAGCTGCACGCTGCCAGCTGCGGTTGGTCCGCTATCGCCACAAATGGTCGCTTTCTAGCTGGAGGCACATCAACTTTATCCCCCTCGAGCTGGTGGTAACACAGCACTGAGCCGAATGGGACAGCGCCCACCTTGGACTGACACTGGTGCACCTCCTCTCCACGCGACAGCAAAGTTGCAATGGGGTACCTGCGGCCGGTTGGGGTGATCTCATCCAGCAGGCGATCAAGTTCCTCACACTTAATCTCTTTGGTTGAAGGACCTCTCGCCTCATAGAGTGAGGATGCTCGCCGGACACTCTGAATGTCATCCATATTCTTCGACGGATCCGCTTTTTCAATTACGAGTGAAGAAACTGGCTGTGCGACAACTTGACGAGGCCGAGGACCCCAAGCCTGCTTCTCAGTTGTGCAAGTCTGCTCTGCTGGTACATCCTGCTGCTTCTTCGCACAGTGCTCGATGCTTAGCAGCAGTGCGACGAGATGATGGCACGAGCCAGCAACTCAAGCAGTGCAAGAGAAGTGTGCATAAGCGATAGACATCAGGTAAGTTGTAGCAGCTGCTTCAACTAAACACTCAAGTGCAAAACTTTCTTTCTTGGACTGGGACGCCCAGCACTTGGCTTTGATGAAGTATCTGGTCGGGGTCTCAGTAGACATTGCAATCTTGCAACAGCTCACGGAATGTATGTAACTCCAGAAGAAGAAGTTGAATCCGTGGGTGAAGGGCTTTTTCACGGTAGCATGCTTGCCGCAGGCTCGGAGGGGATCGAAAATCACACCAAGCGATAGGTCATTTGGCAAAGCAGAGCTTGATGTGTCCCACCCTGTGTCAGGAAAACTAGGACGAGATATAGCTGCTACAGTGGACGAGGTGCTTATTGCATCACTATGTGCTTCCACGAGCTCAGCGTCAACAATGCTCTGAATGGCAGCACTCTTCCGTTTTCCTTGCCGACGCCTGCCGCCAGATGTATCTGGAGTGCGCAGTTTTGGATCGTTGTGGTACAGTCAACTTCGCTAATAACGACTGCGGATATAACGACAATTCGCGAATAACGACATAATTTTCATGCCCAGAGCAAAGTCCCATCCAACTGTGACACATGTAATGAGACTTCGGGTATAACGACACTTCGCGAATATGGACACTTTTCTGATGCCCCGCCGAATGTCGTTATAAGCGAAGTTCACTGTAGAATCTGGCCCTGAACAGATGGAGGAAGTTGGAAAGCAAAAACATGTACCGATAAAATTTCCTTTTCCTTTTGTGAAAAGTTATTTGAAGACTGCATCCCGAAGTGGTACTTACCGTTCGAGCAACTCATCTCGTTTCCCGGACACACGGGATCCTCTAGCTCGCAGGTACGTCTTCAACTGGTTCACCGTCCATTTTTCAAACGATTTGTTGTCCGGAGACATCACAAACCGAACATTGGGATCTTCAATTTCATTTTCAGTCACAGGACTAGTTTCAACGTTCCCTTCATCGCAACGTATCGCGGCAAGAGAAGAAGGGCTCGGTTCATGGCCCGCTTCATCAGCCATGTATCAAACTCACTGCAAAGGCCCAGCGAGAAGTAAATGCAAAGAGATACGTTCTAAACAAACAGCGGACAGCGTTGAAAAGCGAGAATAAAACAGAAACCCTTCGCTGTCAGTTTTTTCGATCCAGGAGAGCCACATTTTTCTGGCCACGTGGGCGAGTACAGGCCAAACGCGGTGATTGATCGTTGCTGTTCCAAAACAAGAGCTCGCGCTGGGAGGAACGCACTGCATGTACCCCGTGCCTGTGTCACGCATTCAGTACGCATGCCATGCCCCGCCAAGTCACTGCGTGTCTTATTGGGCAAAAGACCTATTCATCTGCAAACCATGTGGAGCGATGCTGTAATTTGTGCTTAAACAGAGTGTTGTAAAGCACCAGCCCATGCTCACCACACAGGTCTTAGAGTCTATCACCATTGGCATTGTTAGATGTATGTTTGGAGTAAGAACCTACTGGGCCACTTCTCCCTCCGAATGAGCTTCCTATTTTGGCGTTAAAATCTCCAAGTATCCACAGTTCATCTCTTCGTTTCACTTGGCCTGCAATGTAACTCAGGACGGAGTAGAAGCTGTCAGTTTCAGCAGGATATTTTGTAGAGCGCTGCAGGGTTGGAGCATAGCAGCACACGACGGTAATTGTTCTGCTGTCCCTGCGCGGATTTATAGCGAGTAGGATCGAGATGATTTGTTCCGAGTAGAATTTGTACGAGACAATATTATTTTTTAGCCGTTTGTGGATAAGTATTCCAAGACCGGCACGACCAGACGACCCTCCAGAGCGATACATGACATGTCCGTTGTCCATTGTGTCAACTCCATTTCCATCAATCCAGGTCTCACTCAGTCACTCCGAGCACGTCTAGGTCGTATTGTTCAAAGTCCGGAATAATAAGTTGTTTCTTTATTTTACTTCTCAACGAGCGAGCATTGAACGTTCCCGCTCGGCACCGGGTTTTGCCCGAGCCTTGTCTCCTAAAAACAGAACAACATCCCTCATCTCTAGCGTCACCGCCGCTCATCAGGCTCAGCACATTGCTGGAAGAACGAGTACTCTCACAAGAGTGAGAGCTGACGGTAGTTCACTCCGCCATCAAAATCAAAAAATAGCACTCGATATGAATAGCACTCGATATGAATTGACAAATTCGACCATTCAGCGAATTTTGGGTAGTCTGCCACCTTAACATAATTATTATTATTGTACAATTCTACTCATAGGCTTAGACTATAGCCGAGAACTCCAGAGTCAAAATCTACACAACAAGGAATAGAAGATAAGCATTGGGCACTTGACAATTTTCAAAAATGCACTTCCATAACATTATGGCCGAACGAACTAGGCAAACTCAAACATTACAACATTCTGCAGCTGTTGCGTTGCCCGTGTTGTGCTACAGGATTCTACTCAGCACTATTTACAAAATTATACATACAGGAAGTCGCCTTTCCTTCATGTTCTACTAAAGGCTATCTTTCCTCTTCTGTCTTCTGTGTGTTTCTCTCCCCCCACCCCCCCCCCCCCAATCAACATATCCATAAGCCGGATTTTCCTTTCTTTGTGCTTCTTTGTGCTTCGTACTTTCGTACTGTTGCCGTGAATGTTCCTTTTCCTTGAATCCCGGAGACAACCTAGATAGACCTTTAGGTTTGGTCGTGAGTCAGTCCAGTATCAATTGTGTTGTCAGGAAGTGTGCGATTCAGCTTTTGGAGCAGTCTGTGACACTACGCAATGAGAAAATTACAAATTTGCGATATGAATGCTAGAGTTTTTTGTCTGGAAAGAGTCCTGTATGGCTCGCTGTAATGCTCATCTCTTGTGTTTTCAATATCTTCTTCCTTGTGCAGCGCCGATACCACATGAGCCCCAGGCTGCACATGAAAGTCAGTTACAAGACAATATGTAAAGCGCTCTACACAGCCGTGGCAGTGGCGCACTTGAAGGCTGACATAATGTATTTGTTATACAGGGGACCAAGAGCATTCAAGGACTTTTCCTTTTTGAATTTGTGTACCGTCAAACGGTCGTTAGCTAGTCTCCCAGTTTTGACTAGAATCATGCAGACGGGTTCAGACACGATGCAGCTGAATTATCTCCTAGATCTGCCCGGTTTCAACATTTCCTCCCTTGTTGCGGAAAGTCAA